CTCCCCACACACAGCCCCGTTCCCCCACACAGCTCCACCAGTGCCCCTTCCCCCACATACATCCCCCTGCTCCCGCACGCAGCTCCACCAGCGCCCCTCCTCAGACATACAGCTCCCTGCTCCCCCACACACAGCTTCCCACCCGCAGCCCCGTTATACCAGCTCTGAGCTCACCCCCCACACACAGCTCCACCAATGCCCTTCACTCCCCACCCGCAGCCCCCTCCTCTCCTAGTTCGAACTACCGTTACTTCTCGTGGAATGAGGAGTAACGGTAGTTCGAACTAGGCTTCCTAGTTCGAACTACCTAGTTCGTGCCGCGTGTAGCCGTGCGGCACAGGGTTCGAACGAGCGGGGATTTAAAAATGGCGGCTCCCCGCTTATGCAAATGAAGCCCGGGAAATTCAAATCCCGGGCTTCATTTGCAAGTGCGGTATGCCTACATTACCCCGCTAGTTCGAACTAGGAGGGTAGTGTAGACATACCCTGAGTTGGATTGGTCCTGCTTTGGGCAGAAGGCTGGACTCGGTGACTCCTGAGATCTCTGCCTGCCCCAGGATTCTAAGATTCTAGAGAACTAATGGCCACCCCGTGGCCATTAGGAGGACAAGGCGACAGGCTAGAAATCCAGAAGGGAATGACCCTGGCCAGAGAGACTGCACAGGGCAGAAACTGGAGGGGCGGGGGGAGTGTTTCCTCCCCTGTTCAGAGTGTGAGGAAAGTAAGAAATCAGCCATCAACTCCCAAGCCAGAGAACGAAAGAGGTAGTGCAGGTCACCCACCGATCAGTGGCAATCTGCCACCCAACGAGAAAGCACCAGGGATTTCCTGTCAGGACCCATTGCTTGCATGAAGCACCATCCTGCACAGCAGCATGGTAACAAATCCACAGCCACCCAGCCCAGCCATAGAAGCCCTTCCCAAAGAGCACAGGCCCTTCTTACTTGGCTTAAAGCACAATCACCCTCTATAGGTTGCAGTATAGGGCTTATGACACACAACAGAGAAGAATTGATTCCACTCACTAGAGGGATATGTGTGTACACGCTCTCCAGATATTTACACTATTTCAACTTTGCCAACACTTGCATCCCTTGTTCCACCAATAACGTGTTGAATTGTGCGGGGGAAATAAATATACGTGTTGCTTGTATACTGTCTCTTCCTCTAGAACTCAGTACAGCCAGGTAAGCCTGTGCCACTGATTAACTTCATCCTAGCGGCTTTTATTCTTTCATTGTGGGCTCATCATGTTCTCTCTATCAGCCAAGGAGCCTCTGTATTATCAGAAATATTTATACTCTGTTGATTGAAGACGATGCCAAACACAATATCCAATTAAGGTTCATTTTCATGGAATTGGAAGCGCTTGCCAGACAATTTGAACTTTATCAGCTGACTCATTCTCCAGAGACGTCTGTTCCACTTTGGGAACAACACAGCTCACTCACTAGTGGCTGCCACAGACATAAGCCAGCAGCAGTGGGACGCTGCTGACCTAGTGCCTGCTTTGCACAACTGCGGTCATGAGTTCAGGTGCTGGTAAAGGGAGGCAGTGAAGTGTAGTGGTTAGGGACAGCCCTAGGAGACAGGAAATGTTGACCTGCTGTGTAACCTGGGCACTGCCCCTGGCTATGCACCAGACTGTATGTGAGGGATACAGCCCACAGGGTGGGGCTGGGCTAGTATGAAGGAGTGCTACAGGCCCGGCACTCAGAGCGGAGACGGACTTGGTTCAGTTCCTTGCAGCCGTTCATTGGATCCCCGATCTCTCGCTGAAATTCAAGGGGCTTCCCTGGTGCGGCACCGTGTGGCTCACAGGGCTCTTGAATCTGTTCCTACAGAGGGTTGGGACAAAGGTAACAGAGGCACTGGAACAAACAATGCCCCACTCCCATGAGGGGGTGAGGCTAAATTAACCCTTGGCAAGTGCGTGGCCATCCTTAGCTGAAGGGTGGAGGTAGCCGCAGTCTGAGGTGGGGGGAACCCCTCTGCAGAGGACCACACGCTGATGGGCATGGGTGAAGCAGGGGGCTCCTGGCCTTATGACTGCCCAGGGCGGACAGAGCATACACTGCTGAGCTGTTGATGGGTGGGCCCTAGAGATATCCCTTCCCTCTGCAGTGGAGACGTGCGCCAAACATACAGCCCGATGCTCTGCTGGTGTTACACGGACTTTCCCCAACGCAGCTACACCCATTTACCCAGGCTGGGGATCTGGGCCAATGACACCAGTGCAGCTCCAGCAGAGAAAACAAATCTCAGCTGTCTACACTGGCCCTTTTGCGCAAAAGTTTTTCAGAAAAAGACTTTTGCCCGAACGGGAGCAGCACAGTATTTCCACAAGAAGCACTGATTTCTTACATGAGATCGTCAGTGTTCTTGCGGAAATTCAAGCAGCCAGTGTAGACAGCTGGCAAGTTTTTCCGCAAAAGCAGATGATTTTGGGGAAAAACTTGCCAGTCTAGACACAGCCAATGTGAAACCATTTTGGCAGAACCCAGTGGCTATGTCTAGACTGGCAAGTTTTTCCACAAAAGCAGAAATTTGCCAACTGTCTACACTGGCTGCTTGAATTTCCGCAAGAACACTGACGATCTCATGTAAGAAATCAGTGCTTCTTGTGGAAATACTGTGCTGCTCCCGTTCGGGTAAAAGTCCTTTTGCGCAAAGGGGCCAGTGTAGACAGCTCAGATTTGTTTTGCGCAAAAAAGCCCCGATGGCGAAAATGGCGATTGGGGCTTTTTTGCGAATCATGCCAGTCTAGACGTAGCCAGTGAGTGTCCTTTGATCACTTGAGGCATCCTCGCGTGGCCACATTTCGCCCACTGGCCATCAGAACGTCTGGTGTGTTCAACATATTGTCTGTGGGACACCTCCTTAGTGGGGACCTGGAAACACAGCGGCTGTTGTTACCACTTGGCAGCACTGCCCCATGTCTGTGTGTCTGTTCCCTTTCACTCTCCTGGGAGCCTCCCTGTGCCATTCCTACCCCCATTTCCCTCTAGCAGACAGGCCCCGTGGCCCAGAGGGGTTGCCAATATTTTCACAAAGAAGGAGATTGGTGGGGGTGAGGCAAAGTGCTCAGCCTCCCTTGGGTACCTGCGAGCACCTGGCCGAGAACACAACTCCAGTCACCGATGCTGAGTGGCAGCGGGTGGGGCCCGGGAGTTCTGGATGCTGTTCCTGGCTCTCCCTTGCTCTGCTGCAGAACCCAAGCCCAGAGGCCAGGTCCCTGATCCAGAGCGTTCTGGGTCGCTTGGTAAGCTAGGCACAAGCAAACACTGTGTTTTAACGCTGCCAAATGTAAACATCCCCATCCCGGATCAAAGTCTGCAGCGACGGGGAGGATGTCCTGGGAAGCAGGGACTCAAACTTGAGGAGGGGGGATGGACAATCAGCTGGACACAAGCTCCCAGAGCAGTGCAGGGACCAAAAAAACCAAATCTTCATGGGGAGCAGAGGGGTTCTTTCCCTCTGCACGTGGCA